TATAAACCAAGCTTCAGCCTGCAGTGAAGTTTTTACAGCTGAGTTAGAATGCCCTAGAAGTTGGGGGGTTATGATTAAAACACTGTTGGGGCCTTAAATATAGTGATCCAAATGGGCGCCATTATTTTCAAATCCCCTCTTTCAGGTTCTGAACTTTTAAAATAACAAAATACACAACAGGAGGGCAGCGTGTTGCTTAATGATGCACATTCACTAGGCTAACAGTTCTGTAACAAGATTTCAACCAGCTACCTGCTTCTCTACTGCCTTGCACCTTGTGCAGCCATTTACACTGAGGAAAGTGCATGTAAAATGCTCCCAATTCGAATTCACACGCTGGTAGTGTCCTGCATATGCTTTTGCATGGCTGTTACAGACTAGACAGGGTGTAATTGGAATTTGTCTGCCCACCTGTGTTTAAAACGCATAGCCTTGAGAAAAGTGCTATGAGATCTTTAATTTATTTATCATGTGTATAGTCATCTAGCCAAGTGATGGCGTCTTCAGTGGCATGATACAGTTCTTCTAGGCCTCCGCTGAACCTAGTCAGCAGGCATTCATCGACAATGTGCATCATCATCTGTGTTGCATCACAGCTGCACAAAGGGCTGTCGCAAAGGCCCCAGCGATACTGGTTGGCTGCACAGAGAACTTGCCTGGTCTGGAAGCCTGTTCAACAGGGACCATTGGCGACAGGACAGGTCAAAACCAGGCAGGCAAATTGTAGGGTTGGCGATAAGGGACTGGTTGGGGATTATAACAGCTATCCATTCCTTTTGCCAGAGTGTTTCTGCCCTAACATTCTGGTGTGGTGGATGAGACCATAATGGGTGACATGACAGCAAACGTGCAGCTGGTGGTTTAAAAAGGTCATTGGCAGTGGAGGCTTGACTTGGCACGTACTTTCTCCAGTAACTTGCCAGTGGCAACCTCTCGTCTGATATGAGGAAGAGCAATATTGCTCAGAACTGGGAGCCATGGGAGTGGAGTCGGATGCAAGGTGCCGGAGATGATACTGATCACAAGTTGTCAGAATCTTGATTTTACTCCTCACTGAAAAGATGGATAACACTAGTGAATAGAAAAGTATTTAAACCTTTTGATTGCAATATGGTGAATGATCCAATGGACATCATTTCTTCATTAATTATGAGTTAATGTCCACTGGAAGCTAGTCCTGTTATGCTACTGGGACTGGTAAACTCTCTAATAACACTGATAGGTACTTGAGTGATGCATCACACAAATGTTACAGAGTAATAGCTGTTAATATCGATCAAGGACTGCAGAAAAAGCAATACCTTTACTCAACCATCAGCTATATATTTTGGCAATCATAATAGCTTTAATTACTGTTTTACTCTCATAAGACATAACTTTAGCCTGCAGCAAGTACTGTACTTCTAGTACTGAAGGGTAGATGAGACAATTCCCCCCGCCCCGAAGACTCATAAATGAATGTTTGCTTGTTGGAGGGAGTCTTGGATGAAAGGCAGGATTCACTGAATGAATGCGACAGAATATAAAGAGAAAGTTTTAAATTCTGCCACTGGCTGTGGGCACAGATCCCATTGACTTTTATGGGGGCTAGGTACACTCATCTAGGGGGAGAATGGAGCCATGCAGAATACTAATTAAGGGGTATTTTTATCTGAATTCTTTCATTTGCCTTTATGCTGTACATTCAGTTGTTGGGATCCCATGTGATTCAGTAACAGTTTCACACCTTTATTGATGTTCCTCTTTAAATGTCTCCATTTGCTATTAAAATGTCATCTTCTCTGGCAGCTATAGCTGGTTTTACATGCTGTATAACTATTACTGCCCTGCCCTGATACTGCTACAGTTAAAGGTCTTTCAGTCCTTCCATTCATTCAAAAGTCTGCAAACAAATGGATTACAGATTAAATTGCGTATATACATTTTCAGTTTAAGAAGACTCTTGTATTGTATGTAAAAATTTGAATACAGTTGTCTTGGATCATTTATTATTTGGTGAAGAATAAAACATAGATTACTTTTGCTTTAAAATTGTAGTGGTTGTAGATGTATCATCTGGTTTGAGAGTCCTTCCACACTGTGTAGGTGACTCTGGGATATGCTGTGGAATTTCCAAAGAGTTCCCATGTACTTTCTTTGGTAGAGCTCAGGGGTGGGGGTAAAACTTATGGAGCGGGAGTTTCAGTTTGATTTAAGACAGAAAAGGCTGGTGTTTTACATTCCGCTTAGAAAACAAATTCTAGTGATGGGAATTGGAGCGCAGTGTATCCCATTACCTTGATAGAATCCCACTGAGGCAGAAATACCCTAAGGAAGGTCTGGTGGAGGGCTGAGTAATTGCTGATAGGTCCAGGGTCTTGAGGTTACAAATATTTATCCATGTCTGAGACCTGAGGAAATTATCTTCTTAGTTAACTCTAAATTTAAGGCGTTAGTTCTGCCACCTTTACTTGCATTCAGTAATAACTTTTTCTTGACCTGTTATGTTGTGTGTGGCCATGTAGGTAAGTTAGGGGCTATGCAGAGCTGCTACTCCCCATCTCACACTGGTGGGTGGCCAGCTAAGCAACAGCTCCACCCCATAATATGTGAGGCAATTTTTCTGCCAGTATACTGAGGACCTATTCAGTGATATGGCTGGTGCAAAGTACATCCACCTGGAGTGTGTTTGTGTGGAACGCTGAGACAAATTGAGATTTTTTTGAGTCACAGTCTGGTTTCCAGGATGCTCTTGGGGCAGTCTATCAATACACTTCCCCATACACAAGGTTTTGATAAAACCATGATACATTGAAATCAATGGGACTTTGTACAGTAAGATACTACTCCGCATGGATAAGAGTAGCAGAAACAGGCTCTAACCTTGCATAAATACCTATTTGCAATTATCCAGGTTTTTTTTGTTTATATTGTTTCTATAATTTGTACATGCTGGTGTAACTCCATTTCTGATGTGTTAGGTTAACTAGTAGATGAGCTGCTTGTAAGCGAAGTTGAAATGGTCAACCTCTAGTGCAATTAGTTCTGCCTTTGCGACATGCTACATTAAAGAAAAAGGCTCAGGGACAAACCAAGAATAAACACTTTGGAGATGCCAACAGTAGAGGGCTGTAGTAGCATAAAAACAATTTAAAAAAAAGCCCTCAAAAACAGTGTTACAGTGGGGTACAGAGTCATAACTGGTTTCACATAGGCTAACACAGGACATATTACTCAGGATCACTTTTATTGAAAGCTACATTAACATAACTGTCTGACTATCTGATTTCACTACAACTTCTTGAACAATGTTACCACAGTCCAGGGGTGGCCAACCTGAGCCTGAGAAGGAGGCGGAATTTACCATTGAACAGTGCCAAAGAGCCATAGTAATATGTCAGCAGCCCCCCATCCGCTACTCCCCTCCAGTACCTCCTGCCCACTGGCAGCCCTGCCAATCATCGCCTTCCCCTCCCTCCCCACACCTCCCAGCCTGCAATCAGCTGTTTTGCAGTGTGCAGGAGGCTGTGGTGGGGAGGGGCGAGGACTGAGGGCATGGCAGGCTCGGGGCAAGGGGCAGAGTCCTTGGGGGAAGGGGTGGACTGGTGGCAGGACCTGGGGCAGAGCAGGGGGTTGAGCAGTTAGCACCCCACAGCACATTGGAAAGTTAGCATCTGTAGCTCCAGCTTTGGAGTCAGTGCCTATGCAAGGAGCCGCATATTAACCTCTGAAGAGCTGCATGCAGCTCCGGAGCCATAGGTTGGCCACCCCTGCCACAGTCCTTTCCATGAACAAATGTTGAGTTGTTTATTTTTATTTTTTTCTCTTCTCCCCAGGATGAAAAGAATCAAGTTTTAACAACCAACATTTGGTTACAAATGGTAAGTTGTGAAACATAAAATCTCTCTTAAAATGCAGCTTTAAATGTGCTTTTCATTTTCAACAAGTATAAAACCCACATTCATGTCGCTTGCAAGTTTTTGTTCTTTGTTCTGAGACATACGGGATAGCTCTGAGGTGATACATCCTGTAGAATAGATGATTCTGGGGTTTAAGGTTTTAGACTGTCAGGAGAAGGACTTCACATCATCTCATAGATACTTGTACAATTGTATGAATTGTATTGTTGTACCATATATGATGGATTTATAAACTCATACATTACATTTGTTTCAGTCACTCTAAACACTAGATCACTGCAAGATATTGCAGTCCTAAGGGGTCCCGGGTAGTGATACTTACGGTATTGTAAAAAATGCACCAATTGCAACAAATCTGGCACCTTTTCTTAAATCATATTTGATAGTGAAAGAGAACATGAAATACAATTTCACACATTTATATAACTATTTTGCCAACCTTGTTGATAGAGTGACTATTCTGAGACTCTCTATATGTTTCTTCTTTTGGAGGATGGGCTTATCCCAAAGGAGTTATTTATTCCTGTGGTTTGTTGCCATTCTCCTAAGGATATCAATCTTTCCATGTCTGCTACATTTGCTGTCTGTCTTCTTAAGAAACTGCAAGATGATTTTAATCAAATGCCTATGATTGCAAGTGATACCTAAAAGAAATTATTTATATATAGTACTGTGTCAAAAGTAACTAGTGAATAGAAAGGAATTATTTGGGTTAAATGTCCATAATTCTGAGATTTAGTTGCATGCAAAACACGGGTAATGGCAGACACTGTCTCCAGTTGCCTAATGTTCAGTTATGGGCACATTCATGCATTCTTCTTGTGCTCCCATTTGTTTTGTGCATGTATGGTAAGGTGCACATTTTCCAAAATTTAGCCCTATCTTTAAGTATGCTGCAATGACAAATTCTTGACACAGAACTCTTACCCTGCAGTTACCATTGAATACCAAATTCTTTACTGATGTAAATTGGTGGACGTTAAATGATCGTAGTGAAGCTATGCTAATTTACATCATCGAAAAATCTGGCCCTATACAATCTAATTCTTGACGTTATGGGAACAGATGGCAAATGGGTTTCACTCATGTTTTCCAATGGAAGATACAATGGAATTTTAAAAGGTAGCACCTTGTGAGGGGTTGTTTTTTTTTAAATTTCACTAATGCCCATGCATGTTTACTTTGATTTGACTTGTAATATTTTCCCACAAGCTTGGCATTAATGTAGGCTTTGGACTGACTCATTCCAAGTTGGAGCCTATTGCAGTTTAATGGGCATGGGCTGACATTGAAAGAGCAAATGTAGAAGGATGAATGAAAGCAAGGAGAATTATTCACATGCTTTGGCACTTTCCTTTGGGCTTACATCACATCTCTGACATTTACAATTTTATATGGAAACAACACATAATTCCTTTCTGCTTCTACCACAGAGCTTGTGGGAACCACCTCCGCTCACAATGTACTATAACTGTGTGTTCAGTCCTTAATTGGGCAATGGATAACAAAAGAAGGTCAGATAGGAGAGGGAGATTGCAGTGTCTGGTTTTTAGCAGGGGAGACTATGAGCACCGATAGAGTACTTTGCTCCTGCTCACACATGCAGAACAGGATGCTTACCTCCCTGGGCAGTACCTCCAATGGGAGAGAGCCCTCACGATTCTTGTTTCTTGCTCTCCTGCCTGATGAGACAGGGTCCTCATACCACTAGATGGAGAGACTGGCATAGGTTGTCGGTGCTTCCTGAGACTGGGTCGGGGAGGAGATGGGGAGCTCTCCCTCCACTTTCAGCAGAGGGGATAGGAACTTTCCTTTCCTTTAACCGCTGCTTGTAACAGAGAACCTGAACTCGTTGGGTTAAGCGGTAGTTTACAAAACAGTTTTATTGTTCAGAACAACTGTGTTGTGTCAGCAGAAATTTTATCTCTTTTGTTTTAATCAAAATGATAAACTCACTCAGTTTAATTCTTTCTCTGTGAGTCCATCTTTTTCCTTTTACTATAACTTTTATAGAGTGCCTCTCTCATTTTGGCAGATCTTAGGATACAAAGGAAAGACAATTTTGGTAAGCTACTGAGGATAGTGTGGTTGCTACATCTGTTCACAAAGAGAGGCTGATGTGGAGGAAGCAGTCAGCTCATGCTGTTTACACAGTAGTTTTACAATAAGATTAAAACTGTCAAATATAATCTGTTTTCGGCTCTGAGTTACAGTGACATCAGTCACTGTGATTTCTCAACACAGGATAAGAAACAACAGTTCATTCTGCAAAGACTATAATTTACTTATTTTGTCTTTTATGTTTCTCTTCTTCCTGTTTCCTTATTTTTTGTTTTTTTTTCCCCTAAGGGAATTCTTAATTCTTTTACACTGTCACATTAAGTTTCTTTTCATTCTTCTTCGCGTGATTGCTCCTGTGTATTCCACAGTAGGTGTGTGTGCTCGCCACGTGCACCGGTGCTGGAAGTTTTTCCCTTAGCAGTACCCATAGCGGGGAGCACCGCTGCGACCCCTAGAGTGGCGCCCCTATGTCGCACCATAAAGGGAGCTGTGCGCTCCCCCCACCCTCAGTGCCTTCTTGCCGCCAGTGAAGGTAGTCGGAACTTGTGCTCTAGCATTGCTGCAGCTTTCCTTAGTAGTACGATCTTCGACCGTTACTGGTCTCTACAGTTGGTAGCCTGGCTCGGGGCATGCCCCGAACTCCTGGCTTCAAGTCGTGCGACTCCTGTCGCAATTCCATGCCCAGAAGCGATCCACACTCCGAGTGTCTTCGCTGTCCGGGCGAGGCTCACATAAGTGAGCGCTGCAAAATCTGTAAATCCTTCAAGCCCCGGACTAAGCGCGAACGTGAGATCCGTCTCCGGGCCCTACTTATGGAGTCGGCACTGGCCCCAGCACCGGTGTGCCAAACTGACCCGGCACCAGGCACCACATCTTCAGTGCGGAGCGATGCCCCATCCACCAGTCGGCACCGCTCCCCTGTTAAGAAGCAAGCCAAGACCCAGCAGCGCCAAGACAAGGACAGGGGTGAGGCTGGACCTGAGTTGGGCAGCCCACAATTCCCCTCGGGACCCAGACCTCCGACTCGTGTGGAGCGGAGTAGTCCGGCCCTGTCAGCGCGTGCCTCCCCGACAATGTGGATTCCATCGATGCAGGAGACAGCTCAGGCAGCGTGCGACATCCTCGTCCTGCTGGTACCGAGCGGGCCGCCCGAGTTGGGGCCCCAGTCCCAAGGGAAGCCGCTGTTGGGCGCTCACCATCCCTCACCGGCCAGGTTGGAGGTAGAGGTCTCTGCTTGATCTGCGTGGCCTTCCTGAAGCCCGCGACAGACCTCCACTCCATTGTCGGGGTTGCCTGGGAATGAGTCGCCGGAGTCCTCCTCAGCCCGCAGGAACTGCAGACGCTGAAACAGGAAGCGTCGACGCTCCTCGTCCAGCCGAAGTGATAGCAGGTCTCGATGCCATCGGCACCACCGACCGTATCACGGCGCGCGCCATGCTTGGAGTGTATCCACACAGTCACTGGCACCGAGGCGTCTTAGACACAGCCATCGACGGGACACCAGAGATAGCACCTCTGATGTCTACGTTTCATCGTCATCAAGGTCTAAATCCCGGGGCTGGACCCGACGTGGACGGGACAGGTCGAGCCGCTCATACGGCACCGTGCGATCCTCAGCCACCTCTGCCTCGGCGCCCAGCCGTCCCTCCCCGGGCCGCACCTTCCCCCAGGAACTTGGTGGACCCCAGACGACTCAATGGCAAGGGGCGCCATAGTAAGGACAGTGGTGCCAGTGGGCACCGTGGCCCAGGTGCCCGCACCGCCAGAGCCCTGCTCCGTGGCTGGGGCATCCCAAGCCCACTCGGCGTCCCCGCCTCGGCATCGCGGGGACCGCGCCACCGGTACCGCACCCAGACCAGGACATGGAGTGCGACATACCGGCACCGACCGATGCCCTACGGGCCGTCCCGGTCGTCCCTTCGGCACTGGATGAGTCCATAGCGGCACCACCACCCCCGCTTCTCAGGAGGACTTCAAGGCACACCAGGAGTTCCTCCGGCGGGTAGCACCAGCCTCCAGCTCCAGGCGGAGGAGATGGAGG